CCGGCGGCGTCATCAGGCGCGGCGGCATCGAGTTCGAGGGCTTCTGGGTCAGGAGGTGTTCATGCTGACCCAGCGGCCGTGCGGTGGGCGTCGAGCTCGAGCTCGGGGGCGCAAGCGGCTGTCAAGATGGAGGAGGCGTCGGAGGTGCCGAAGTCGATGGAGGAGAGGTCAGGCTCAGGCGGGAAGAGGCCAGCGGAGGAGACACCTACAGCCGAGGGCGCAATGGACGCAGATGCGCTGGAGGAGGTGAAGGGTGTCATCCATGAGCTGGGTTTCTTCGGGGTTCACGTGTCAGAGCTGTTCGGGCCAGGTAAGTTCACGAACAGGGCCGAGTAAGTTCACGCGTTCGACCTGCGCTTGACAGACGACGATGGTGCGCCGTGGGACCTGTCGGACCCAGAGCGTCAGAAGCTGTGCGAGGCGACGATCGACGAGGAAAGGCCGTACTTGGTTATCGGGTCGCCGATGTGCCGAGCATTCAGCACCATCCCGCGACCCAGAGGGGCGCGAGAAGAAGGTGATGGAGGGTATCCAGCACCTGAGGTTCTGCGCGAAGATTTACTCCAAGCAGGTAGAGCAAGGGCGGTATTTCTTACGTGAGCATCCTGACCGAGCGTGGAGTTGGAAGCTAGACTTCATGGTGGATTTGTTGAAGCTGAAGGGTGTCTCTCGTGTGAGTGGCCATCAGTGCTGGTTTGGCCAACAGGCGGTTTACCTAGATGGCGAGAAGGGCCTGGTACTCAAGCCCACGGGTTGGATGAGCAACTCGGAGTGCATCTTGAGGGGGGTCTCCCGCAGGTGCGAGAATGAGGGCTTGCCTCGGGGCAAGTGGCACGCGCGCGTGCATCTCGTTGGGAGTTCGAAGACGCGGCCAGCGCAGAACTACCCGCCGGCGTTGGCGGCGGCAATCCTCAAGGGCTTGAAGGAGCAGTTGAAGGCCGACGGCGAGCTGAGCGAGCCCGCGGTTGGGGTCGCGTGCGAGGAGGGCGCCGCCAGCTGGGACATGGAGGAGTACGAGGAGTTCCGCGACAACATCTCGGGCCAGCTGCTGGACGCCACGATGGTGCGGGCCGGCCGAGAGGAGGTGCTCAAGTCCATGGGCGAGATGAAGGTGCACGAAGTGGTTCTTGAGTCTGTGTGCTGGGGGGGGACCAAGGCGAAGCCGATCCAGGTTAAGTGGGTCGACATCAATGAAGGGTACGAAGCTCGCCCAGAGATAAGGTGCAGGCTAGTGGCGAAGGAACTGAAGAGCGCGCTGACCAGGGCTGGTATCTTCATGGATGATGCGTTTTCGGCGACACCGCTCCAGGAGGATGTCAAGATGCTGTTTAGTAAGATAGATGATGAGCAAGAAGCGCGGCGACTGCAGGAGGCGAAAGCTGATGTTCATCGATGCCAATCGGGCCCATTTCCACAGTCCAGCTCGCAGGCGCGCGCTTGTTCAACTACCCGCCGAGCGACATCGAGAGGGTTACTGCGCGATGCTGCTCAAGAGCATGTGCGGCGCAAGGGACGCGGCGGCGAACTTCGCTGATAAGGTGATGGAGGTGCTGCGCGACATGGGCTTCAATATTGGTGTGTTTTGTCCGTGCCTGCGCAGGCGCGAGGAGAAGGACATTTTGCTGTTCTATCACGGGGATGACTTCGTGAGCGAGGGCGAGGGCGACTCGCTGGAGTGGTTCAAGGTGGAGATGTCCGAGAGGCTGCTGGTGAAGGTGCGTGGAGTGCTTGGCTGGGGCGACAACGATGGGAAGGAGATCGCGCTGCTCAATCGGATCGCCCGGCTCGCCGAGGTGCAGGACGGGGTTCCGTGTTTGCAGTGGGGGGCCGATGCTCGCCATGTCGAGATCGTTTTGTCGCAGCTGAAGCTCGAGCCGAGCAAGGGCAGCAGGTCGGTGACGTCGCCTGGCATCAAGAGGGCCGCGGAGGAGCTGGAGAGTTCGGCTAGCCTCGGGACCGTCGAGGCATCGCTGTTCAGGAGCGTCTGCATGAGGATTTCACTACCCGGCGATGGACAGGATCGATTTACTTTTTGCGGCGAAGGAGGCAGCAAGGTGGATGAGCAAGCCGACGCAGACAGCCATGGAGATGGTGAAGCGAATCGGGCGCTACTTGATGCGGCGACCAAGGATCGTGCAACAGTTCGTTCAGCAGGTGAAGCCCGACTACCTGAAGGTGGCGTGCGACTCCGACCATGCAGGTTGTGCACTGGCGAGGAGGAGCACTGCGGGCATTGCGCTGTGCCACGGAGCTCACTTGCTGAAGGCGACGGCCAACGCCCAGTCGGTGATAGCGCTGTCGAGCGGGGAGCCGGAGTTCTACGCGATCGTGCGCGGAACGAGTGTTGGACTGGGAGCCCAAAGCATGTGTGAGGACTTCGGCATGAAGAAGGATTTAGTTATCGAGACTGATGCGACGGCCGGGCGCGGTATGGCGCTGCGGCTGGGCGCGGGAAAGGTGCGCCATCTACGTGCGCAGTACTTGTGGGTCCAGACGGTATCTCATGAGAAAAAGGCGAGGCTGGTCAAGGTGCCTGGCGACCTCAACACAGCGGACATGATGACCAAGGACCTAGCCGGCGATGCGATTGACATTGACATGGATCGGTGCGGGTTCGTTATCCTGGAGGCCAGGAGTGAACTGTCGCTGATGGCGGCAGTGTGAGCGCGGCTTGGGCCGAAGGTTCCGCCAAGTGATTTCATGATCAGCCTGAGTAAGGCTCTGTTTGCTTGCTGGTCGACGGCGGCGCGACAGTCGCCTGGTCGAGGAGGAGTGTAGCAATACATACTTGATAAACAGGTTGCGATAGCGTGTTGCTGTCTGCAGCCGTGCTGGTTCAAAGTAGCATCGTCAAGGATGATGAGGATGATGGGGATGATGATGATGCTGTTGATGAGGATGATGATGATGCTGATGATGATGTTGATGATGATGATGGTGCTAATTCTTATCATTGTGATAAATATGTTGTTTCTGATATTGAGGATGCTGGCGACGATGGGGATGTTGATGCTTTTTGTGATACTGCTGGCTGGTATCAGTGAGTACTATGACAGCGACGAGGAAGGGGAAGATGTAAGGACAGATGTGGAGAGGATTTTGTGTATGTGGAGGGGAGGTGGGAGGGGATCAGCTGCCTGCTGCTGAGGCGCAGCGGCCGGCTCTTGGGTCCACGCCTTTGCAGGCACGCTGAGGCATCGGAGTGCCTTGTGCTTTCCTGCGCGGCTGACGCGCTATCGCGTTCGCCCTTTCCCGGTGTGTTCTGCAAACGATATCCCGATGTCGCTCCACTACGAATGTGCTTGCACTTCTGGGCAGGGATCTGTATGCTGGGCTATCGCGCCTTCTGATGCTCTCCTGATGGGTCCCGCGTGTGGACATCACGTATCATCATATGCAGCACGCCTACGTTTCGCATCACAATCGCGAGTCGCCAACCTCTCAAGAGAAGTCCTTTTTATCGAATGCAGCTCCACCCAGCCATCTGTCTGAACCAGCATGGCAAGTGTGCCTCGGTTGGTCGTGAGGAAGCCTTTGCAGATAGGGATCGTCTCTGGAATGGTAGAGGTTTGAGCGATTACGTCCACAGGTTGCGCAATCAGGATTCTGATGGTTCAAGACGGCGGAGACATTGTCCCTTAGTTCACAGGTAATATGGCGATGTGCACTGGAAGTTACGGTGGCGATGATGGTGTATGCATATCGTTTGAGGAAGTTCTCGTTGGTATCCCCATATTTTGGAGAAGTGTGTGCTGCAGGTGAATGCGTTGCGTGAGGCTCCAGCGCCCGAGTTCGAAAGAACCAACCGGCCGTAACATTGGCAAGTATCGCGTTGGAGATGTTTGGTTCAGGTTTTCTCCGGCCCCGCTACTCTGGGAACGATTGTTCAATTATCAGGCCGGAGGGCGGAGAGGGGGTTCATACGAAGTGGCTTCTACACGTTTGCTGCACAGTTTTCTTCGTCGACGAAGCCCAACCCCTGGGGCCGAGGGGTTCCCTCGGGGAGGACCCGACCGTCGTGCTCCAAACTGGTGTGGCACACGCCTGGCTGACGGGGCCTGACCCTGCCTTCTTGAGAGCCGATCAAATCCGAGCATCCCGAGGGGGAAGAGCTTCCCGGACCTCCAAACGCACGGACACACAAACAGCGGGGACGAATGTGAAGGCCTCACGGCCGGTGCCGCCGACCCTGAGGGCGGACGTTGACGACGATGATGACGACGACGACGTCGACGACGACACCGACGACGAACGAACAATTACGACGACGACGACACCGACGACGACGACGACGACACCGACGACCGACGACCGCCGACCGACGACCGACGACGGCGACGACCGACGACGACGATCGACGACGACCGACGACGACCGACGACGACGATGATGACGACGACGATGACGACGACGACGACGTCGACCACGACACCGACGACGAACGAACAACTACGACGACGACGACGACGACACCGACGACCGACGACGACGACGACCGACGACCGCCGACCGACGACCGACGACGACGACGACCGACGACGACGACCGACGACGACCGACGACGACGACCGACGACGACACCGACGACCGACGACCGCCGACCGACGACCGACGACGACGACGACCGACGACGACGACCGACGACGACCGACGACGACCGACGACGACGACCGAGGACGACCGACGACGACCGACGACGACGACGACGACCGACGACGACCGACGACGACCGACGACGACCGACGACGACGACGACCGGCGACGACCGACGACGACCGACGGCGACCGACGACGACCGACGACGACCGACGACGACCGATTACGACCGACGACGACGACGACCGACGACGACGACGTTCGCTGTTTCTCGGGGCTTGGCGGGACTGCCCCAGGGCTTGGGGGGGCCTGCAGGAGCAGGGCGCTCCGCTGCAAGGGGGGGCCGTTCGGCATCGCCGCAGCTCGCTGCTGCGTTCGCCGAAGCAGCAACGCTCGGCTTCCAG